CAGAGATCAGTCGTTTCTCTAACAGGATGAAACCCAGAGACCGCCTCGGGGACCATACGGCTATGTCTAGTTGTTCTTTTCTTCTTCTCCGTTCTGTTCATGCCTCAACTTTTCATTTTACTTTCTGGCCTCCTTTCTTTTCTCTCTCATCCTTCTTTACTATTTCTTGGGTTTTTTTTCTCCTTTTCTCTCTTGGGATGTGGGCTGTACACGGGAGTAGGAGAGCACTCAGGGAAGTCATCCTAGGAGAGGGGATCTGTGCTGCATCTTCAAGGCAGAGAGGGGTTTAGATAAGGACTTCAGGATAGAGATGGAGAATAGAGGTAGAGTAGAAAAAAAAAATAACCCAGAAGGCATCTCCAATGTGAGACCCCTGAGAAGAAAGAACAAAGAATACCAGGTGTCTAGATGGTATGTGCTGAAAAATCTATAAAGGTCTGTAGACTTGAGGTGTCCCAAAGGCGAGGTGGGATAGATGGGAGAGAGGTACATTACTACAACCTTTCCATAGGAAGGCCGGGCTGCATTCTCTGTGGGATGTGTTCTAAGTTGAGGTTCTGAAGAAGGTGACATGATTTGATTTGCAAGTTGGAAAGGTTGTTATTTCTGGGTGCAGGGTGGATTGAAGGAGACTAGCTAGATACAGGGGGTTAAGTTAGCTACTCAAACAGTCTAAGCAAGGGATGCTGATACTTCAAGGATGTTGGCAAGATCACGTAGCAGTTAAGCATGGAAGGTCTGCTTATTCATTGGGTCATTATTCTGGTTCTGCTATTCACAGGTGATAAGTACAATGGTGACTGCTGATGTCCTATACTCCCTGCCAAACATCTTAGCATTTGAAAAACAGGCTGGTCATCCAGGTGGTCAACTCTGCTAAAACAAAACAAAAAATTGGAGAGCTGCATAATAGTTTACCATTCTGTTTCATAGGTAATAAACCTGAGGCCTACATATTTATGTAGTCATGTATGGATTCCGTATATTTGTACTGAGTGCCTTCTTTATGTCAGGCACTGGGTAAGAGGGGCATGTCAGAGAGCAAGACAGACCAAGTTCCTGTCCTCTTTGAGTCCACATTTGAGTGAGCATAAAGCCCATAAGAAACACATGCTATGAAAAAATAAAGTGAGTTAAGAGTGGCAAATTTATACAGGATGGACAGGGAAGGCTCCTGCAAGAGGAGAAATTGGATCTTGACTGAAGTAAGAGAGACAGTCAGGCAAGTGTTGGGGGAAAAGTGTTCCAGGCTAAAGGAACAGGGTGCAAAGGGCCTGATACGGGAGCATATGAGCTTCCTTGAGGATCAGCAAGGAGATCAGCATGGTTGGAGCAGAAGAGGTGGGGGAGAGCGTAGCAGGAGTGAGTCAAGGGGAAAGATGACAGATCACGAAGGCAGGACCTTACAGACCAGTGGCTTGGGAAGTGTGGTGGGAAGCCACTGATTCAAAAAGAAAAATCATATGATTCAACAGAGTTGATGATGGTTGCCATATGGAAAACAGACCGGCAAAGCAGTATGCAAGAGGAACCCAAACAGGAGATTATTGTCCTAGTCAAGGGAGAAATTGCGGTGATTGCACTAGGGTTGCGTGTAGAAATGGTGAGAAGGGGTGGAATTCTGGATGTCTGTTGAAAATAGAACAGATTGGAATTGGCTAATACTACTGATGTGGAGTAAAAGAAAAAGAGAGAAGAATTGAGGATAACCCCAGGGTTGGCCCTGAGTAACTGGGTAAAACAGATGGTGTTACAACTCTCATGGAAGAATAACAAAAGAGCATAGCTTTGGACATGGTAAATTTGAGATGCCCAGTAGACACCTAAGTGACAATGTTGGTGGGCCAACAGCCTATGAATTTGGGGCTCAGTAGAGAGTTTAGAAATGTAGATGAAAATTTGGGAGGCATCAGCAAATATCAGTTCTTGGCACTGGGCGTGAACACAGATGGAGAAGAGAAGTTCTAAGAACTGAATCCTGTGCTACTTCTACAGTGAAAGACTGAAAATAAGAAGAAAATCGAACAAAGGTGACCAAGAAGCAGCAGCCAGAAACAGATGGGGCAACAGAAGAGAGTGGGAACGAGTTTCAAGAAGAGGGTGGGTTTGGAAATGTTAGTGTGAAATCAGCCTCTCCCCTCACACTGGCCAGAGCTGTCGTATTTTATCAGACTGTGTACATCTCAGTGTAGCTTGAGAAGTGGGATGCTTATGGATGGTAGCAGTAGGTGATGATGGGCACACGTCAGAATTAATTTATGCTTTCTTTATACTTCAAAGCTAGATGAATCTCAAGAAAGTAAATATAGCCAGTAAGTAATGTGATTCATTTTTCATATTGTAGAAATAAATGTGGTAATGAAAAATCAAACTCGATCATAATTTTCTAAAGTCATTGACTATGAGCTTTTTATTTGATCCTTGAAAGGAACCTTCGTATGTTCTAATGAAATCTGAGCAAATTAAATCCCTTCAGCCTTGTGGGAAACTGAGAATCATGGGAGTTGCTATACAGACATTAAGAGTATTGAGTCAGCCCTGGACAGTTTTGTTCACTGGTTAGAGCATCGACTCTCAGACCAAAGAATCACGGGTTTGATTCCAGTCAAGGGTATATACCTCAGTTGCAGTTTGGTCTCTAATCCTGGTTGGGGTTGTGCAGGAGGCAACCGATCAATGTGTCTCTCTCACATCGATGTTTCTTTCTCTTTCTCTCTCTCTCTCTCTCTCTCTCCCCCGCCCCCCATCTGAAGATAGATGAGAAAATATCCTCAGGTGAGGATTCCAAGAAAAAAAGTGTAATTGAGTCAAATTTCCGTCATCACAGCTTACAGATGCTTAATATCACTAGTTATAAGAGACACGCAAATCAAATAAAAACCACAATGGGATATTAACACACATCTGTTAAAAGGTTGTTATCAATAAAACAAGAAGTGACAAGTATTGGCAAGGATGTGGAGAAGAAGGAACCCTCATTCACTGTTGGCAGGGAAGTAAACTGATGCAGCCACTATGGAAAACAGTCTGAAAATCCCTCCAAACATTAGACGAGAGCTACCATCTGACCCAGCAACCCCCCTCTGGGTAATTATCTGAAAACATGTGTTTGTAAAGATGTGTGCACCCCTGTGTTCATGGCAGCATTAGTCACAGTAGCCAAGACATGAAAACACCCTAAGGTTCCTTCAGTGGTGATTGGATAAAGAAGACGTGGTGCATATACAGGGTGGGGCAGAAGTAGGTCTACAGTTATTTATACAGAAAATAATGCAATAATTAATGCATAATAGTACAAGAATAAACTGTTTCGTGTACTCGCCACTGTAAACCTACTTTTGCCCCAGCCTGTATACAACAGGGTAGTACTTGGCTATAAGAAAAGATGAAATATTGACGTCTGCGACAACATGGATGAATCTTGAGAGAATCATGCTAAATGAAATAAGTCAGATGAAAAAGGATAAGAACCATATGATTTCACTCACATGTAGGACGCAAAACTACAGAATAATAGTTACCAGAGGGAAAGGGGGGTAGGGTAGGATGACAAGGGTTAAGGGGGTCAAATACAGGGTGATGGAAGGAGACTAGACTTCTGGCGGTGAGCACACAATGCCATATACAGATGTTGTATTATAAAGTTGTACACCTGAAATTTACATAATGTTGTTAACCAATGTTACCCCAATACATTTAATTTAAAAAACAGCTTCCAAAGTTTCAATTAGCCATACTCAAATCTAGAATAATTCTTTTTAATTAAACAAAGTATATATTCATAAACTCTGCTTCAATAATTATAAGCAGAAAAAAATGACTATATAAACAGGAAAAGCTTTTTTCTCATTTTGAATGACTCTTATGTCTACATCAATGCGTCAGGAAAATTTTATGAGATTTAAACTTAAAAACATCTACCAAGTTTCACAGCGGACTTTATTACTACTTTAAAGAAACTAAATTAAATTGCCACTGTAGCGTATTCTCTAATTTCCCACTATAATACCACTTTTTCAAAATCACAATAAAGATACAGTCCCGTGGCTTTTCATTTCTCTGTGAGTTATATAGGAGGACTGCATTTTTATGTTATGCTTTAGACAATTCAATATGAGCCATATATAAGAGAGTATAGTTCTCCATAATATGACTGTAAGAGTTTTGCTGGTAAATATTTATATTGCTTCTATCTCCAATAAAACCCATAAACAGTTGGGCAGAGTATTAAAGAGATCTCTCAGCTTCTTTCTACACTTTGTCTTAGAATGCAGAAAATGTCAAAGGAACTTGCGTAGTTTTCCTCTTAGAGGAAAATAGAGTTTATAAATTGTTATTACAAAAATAATATGTGCTTGTTATAAAAAATAATCAAATAGAAGAGAATGGTATGAAATAAACACAATTCTTTCTCCCTGCTTCCGCTCTCAATCGCATTAGAAGTAGCCACTGGCCAGATATTTGTATAAAATACCAACATATAAACATTTTCACATACATTTTATAATTTGCCCTTTTTGCTTAATACATTTTTAGCTTCTTTAAAGTCAACATTATAGGTTTACAACAGCCTTTTAATGCTTGTGGATTACTTCATTGAATAGTAGTACTACAACTTATTTAATCAATTTCTGACAATGAGCATTTATATATTTTCCAGGTTAGTGGTAGTAATACAAACAATGTTGGTCTAGTCTTTCAATTTTCACAAATTATATTTTATTTGCTAGATGAGTACACAAGAAAACACAAAAATGTGTATGATTTTTTTGACCGATGGCAAATTCTGACGTCTGTCTTTTCATTTTTTTTTATATCTCAAATATTTATTTATTGGAGGGATTAATTCTTCTCCCCTACATCACTGTATTAAGATATAATTGACATAGAACATTGTGTAAGTTTAAGATGCATAACATGATGGTTTGATACATGTATATACTGAGAAATTATTACCAAAAATTAACACCTTCATCAGCTCACAGAACATTTAACTCTCAAAAAATAAGGAACACTTCACAAATTTGCATGTTATCCTTACGCAGGGGCATCTAACCTGCTCTGTATCATTCCAATTTTAGTGTATATGTTTCCAAAGTGAGCGCTGTAAAGTGTTTACTGAGAATCAATTATGTTCTAGATATCATGGAGTCAAATATATGAGAGAAGGAGACTAGACTTCTGATGGTGACCACACAATGCAGTATACAGATGCAGTACACATGAAATTTATATAAGTGAGATGATGCAGTGAATTAGCTTTCCATGTCTGGCTCCTGACCTCCAGGTCCATCTGTGTTTTTGCAAATGGCAGGGTTTGCTCCTTACTTAAGGCGGAATAGTGCTGCAGCAAACGTGAGGATGCAGATCTCTCTCTGAGATCCTGATTTCATTCCTTTGTTTATCTACTCACAAGTGAGATGCTGGGTCATACGGTAGCTCCATTTTTAATGATTTGAGTAATCTCCATACCTTTTACCACAATGACCATACTAATTCACCTTCCCTAAAAGCAGTATACTAGGGGTCTGTTTTACCCACATCCTTGCCAACACGTGTTACCTCTTCTTTTTTATAACAGCCATCCTGACGGGTGTGAGGCGATAGCTCATTGTGGTTTTAATTTGCATCTTCTCAAATGACCAGCCCTTATTTTGCTAATCTTTTCTATTTCTGTCTAGTCTTCGTTTTATTTATTTTTGCTCCTTTTTAAAAGTCATTTTCTTTCTTCTCTTAACTTCGTTCTTCTCTTTCTAATCCTTGAGGTATAAAGTTAGATTTTAACTTGAGATCTTTCTTTTTTAAAAAAATTTTATCACTATACACTACTCTTTCAACACTGCTTTTGCTGCTTCCTATAAGTTTTGGTAAGTTGTGTTCCCATTTTTGTCTCGAGACATTTTTTATTTCCCTTCTGATTTCTTTTTAACCCATTGGTTGTTCAGGAGCATGTTTAATCCCTGCACATATGTGAATTTTCCAAATTTCCTCTTGTTACTATTTTCTAATTTCATACCATAGTGGTTGGAAAAAATAGTTGCTGTTAATTTAGTCTTCCTAACTTTGTTAAGACTTATTTTGTGACATGCACATGATCTATCCTGGAGAATGTTTCATGTACACTTGATAAGAACGAGTGTTCTGCTGGTTTGGATGGAATACTCTCTGTATGTCTGTTAGGCACATTTGGTCTATAGCACTGTTCAAGTCTGCTCTTTACTCATTGATTTTCTGTTTGGATGATTTATTCATTGTTGACAGTGAAATATTGAAGTTCCCACTATTATTGTTCTGTTATCTATTTTTCTTTTCAGTTTTGTTCATGTTTGCCTTATATATTTAGTTGCTCCAGTGTTGGGTGCATATTTATGATTGTTATATCTTGATTAATATACAGCATGTTCTGTACATACCCCCTTCAAAGAACTTATAACACAGTGTCATTTATTTTCATGTCTATCTTACCCCTAAATCAATACTTTTTAATTTATGGAGGTGGGAGGGGGGGTGGGAGGGGGGGTTAGATACAATAAAATATGTCAACTTTCTATTGTTCTCTCTGTCTCTTTGGACTCATCCCCTAAGTTTTAGGAAATTGATTGAAAACTCTGAAACATAGGTTTAATCCTAATTTAAACACATCTAAACTAGACTATAAGCTTTAAATGGCAAAGGTAGAAGTTTTTTATACTTTGTTGACTCTAAACATCTAGTACCACGTTTGACTCAGAGTAAAAGTACTATTCATCATATAAATACTAATTCACAAGCAAAAGAAAATGCCAAGTAATTTGCTAGCTACCATTGACCAACATAATTTAATTTCATGCATGTTTCTTGAACTTCTAGTAATTAGCCACTGGTGTTTAAGTCCACTCCATGCTCCACTTCATTTCCGCCAAGATAAATTGTAAAAGACAGAATTTAATCAGAGGCAAGACCTCCCTCCATAATCCCATTAGTGGTAATAGTAATAATAATAATCAAATTTAGAATGTGCTCTTCAGGGTCTTAAATAAAAATTATAAGACATAAAACCTAATAGGAGGTAGAGATCCTTACAAATAAATTGGAAAAATATTTCAAAGTGCTACAAATTTCTGAAATTTAAAAGAGCAAAAATCTTACTCTTTAAATGCTATTGTGACAAGTTCTAAATTAAAATTTTAAAATCAGAGTTAAAGCTTTTTTCTTGATCCCAATTATAAAAACAAAACATTGATTTGGATGTGCTCTTTGAGATCTTAAACACGTGCCACAGGACAACAAACTAACTCAGTTCAGGAAATAGGTCCATGTGGTTGAAACTTTATATACATTTAAGTAAAAAGTTTAAAACTCTTCTTGTATTCCTTGTACTGAAGAGTTAATAAGTTAGAAAAAGAAAACTGCTGACAAAATAAAATGAGAAAGAAAATAAAAAGCACCCGGACTTATTCAAGAGCTGCGGTGATCGCCAGCCCTACAACTTCCATGAAGGCTAAGTTTGTCATGAACTTTGATGCAGTAAAACAATAATATCTATCCATTAATTACAAAACAAACAATAAAATGCTCTGTAACTACAACAATCTGCTCGAGTTAACTAAACGCCCGGTTAACTAAATCCTTGTTACTCTGGGCCTTGAACGAAACTGAATGTTCGTTTCTCCGTACTCTCCTTTCAATAGAAAGCAACTATAAACACAGACCAACAGAGACAGAAGATTTATTTTAGTGTTCACTTTTTTCAGCAAATTCTAACTATTCAACAAACATTCATTCTGGAAATTTACCATATACAAGATAATTTACTGCATATGGGAGAGGACTAGATAATAAAAGACCTTTTCTCTACCCCCAGCAATCTTATGATTGAGAACTTCTACTTCTGACCAAGATGAAGTAACAGGGTGGATTCACTTTCTTGCCTGAAACACCAATAGACCAAAATGATATATGAAGCAGAGGATTTTTGGACAGTGGCCACAAGGCAATAAAGAAAAGCTTAAAATAAAAAGTAGTAATAATCTATTGTGCTTTGGAAAAGACATTATTAAGAAGATTAGTAGGCACGCCACTGACTGGAAGAAAATATTTGCAAAGCAAGTATTTGATAAATGATTTATTCCCAGAATATACAAAGAACATTAGAAATTTAGTAATAATACATCAAACAGCTTAATTTAAAAAGTGGGCAAAAATCTGAATAGACATTTTACTACAGAAGATATATGAAAGGAAAATAGACACATTACAAGATGTTCACCTTCATGAGTGTTAGGGATATGCAAATCAAGACCATAGTGAGATTGTATTACAATCTACTAGAATGGCTGAGATGAAAGGCTGACCATGGTGAGTGTGGGTGAGGGGTGGAGAAAGTGCACTTCTCACACACAGAGGGCAGAGACGTACAAACGGTAAAATCAGTGTGGAAAAGAGAACAACAGTTTCTTAAAAATTAAACATATACCTACCATATGATCTAGACTTTTCATTCCCAGGAATTTATCCCAAAGAAATGAAAGCATATACCTATACAAAGACCTGTACACAAAAATTTATGGCAGCTTTATTTATAATAGCCTAAAACTAGAAACAACCTGCATATCCTTCAACATTGGAACACATAAAAAATGAAAAGTGACATCCAGACAATGGCATACCACTCAGTAATACAAAGAATAAGCTATTGGTACATACAACATCATGGATGAATCTCAAAATAATCATACTGAGGGGAAAAGCCAGAATAAAGAGTACATACCGTATTATTACATTTTTACAAAATTCTGGAAAATTCAAACTCATCTCTGGTGACAAATAGTCACTTACTGATTGCTGAGGAAGAAAGGGTGGGAGGAGAGTGGATGATGCCATTACGAAGGGGCATAAGAAAATGTGTGGGAATAATGCATATGTGCCTTCATTATCTTCATTATTGTGTTTTCATGTATGTATACACATGTTAAAACTTGTCAAATTGTACCCTTTAATGTCAATATATCTATTATACTTTAATAAAACAGTTTAAGAACATTTTTAAGAAGGGTGCATGCACAAAAGAAGGTTATGATCTTGAAGGCACAATCAACATGCACACCTGGAACTCTGGTCCCCAGCAGACTTACTGAGGAACAGAATACACTGCAGAGATAATAAATAATCGAGGCTAGGCACTCAAGCAATGAGGAAGCACTGGAGTTGGACTTTGAAGAATGGCGGGACAGGGGAAGAGGAAGGAACACTGTAAGTGGAAAAATAAATGCTAATAAACCATGAGACCAAAGTGCAGAGTCAGGGACATGCAGATGGAATTTTGGAAACTAACAGTTTTGCACGTGTCTAGAACATACTGGCTGGTGGTTGGAGAGAATGTCACTGTGGAAAACTTAATTTAATAGTTCAAGATAAAGTTTCCAGACTCATAAATCTCCCTAGCCATATATCCAGGTTCTCACTGACAAGTTCTGCTTATATGTAAGTGAAGGAGACAGTTCTGCTGTTTTCTGCCGCCACTGAAGTATGTTTCTTTCCCCAAACACGTGCCTCACTTCCTCCTGAGTCAGAAGCAGCCCTGTGCTCTGAGTCTGCCTCCCACTTACAGTCTGTTCGAAGCGCTTTTGTCTTTCTCTCTCAAGAGCTTCAACATTCTTCTAGCCTCTGCTCACAGCCCAATTCCAAAGCCACGCCTGCATGTTTCGGGATTCGTAGCAGCAGGATCCCACTTCCAGGTACCAAAATCTGTCCTGGTTCTCTGTGGCTCTAATCCGACAGCCTTAGAACAACACACGTTTCTTATCTCAGGTTTCCACGTGTCGACTCTGGACGTGCCTTAGCTGGGTCCTCTGCAGGGCCCCACGGAGGTGTTACAATCGAGGTGTCCAGCAGGCTGCATTTTCACCCGGAGCCTAGGCTGAGGAAGAATCTGCTTCTATGTTCATCCAGGTTTTAGGCTGAATTCATTTCTTGGTGGCTGTATGTCTGAGGGTCCTTGCTTTTTGCTGACTTGAGGAAAGAGGCCACCCTTCAGCAGTAGAGGCTGTCTAAAGATCTGTGCCTCCCCAGCATGGCCAGTTACCTCATCACCCAGCAAGGGCAGTCTCCTACACAAAGACTTACA